GGCCGGCGAGCGGCGGCTCCAGCGCGCCCAGCGGCGTCGAGCCGGGCCCCGAGGCAGCCAGGAAGCTCGAGTCGGCCGGGGACTGCGCCTGCGACGGCGGGCCGTGCGCGAAGAAGTCGTAGTTGCCTCCGGGCGCGTAGTAGTCGCCCTGGTAGTCTGCGGGAGGGGACGGGGTAGCGGGGAGACGGGGAGACGTGAGAGATGGCGAGGTCGCTAAGGGACTCGGGGGGGCCCGGGGGAAGGGGACCTGGGCAGACCCAGGCCAGAGACGTGCGGACGTGGTTGGGGCCGGCTGGACCGGACGTCACTGGGGGACAGCGCGACACTGACTCTAGGTTAGAGAGAGGGCTGCGGAGAGACCCGCAGAGAACAAGGGAGAGGCAGGCGGGAGGGGCGGAGGACCAGACCCGGGCTCATACTGGGGAGAGAGACGAGAGATACTGAAAGGCAAGAGACTCAGATGATGAGGCACACACAGCGAAAGATCCTGAGAGTTCAAAGTCAGAGGTTCCCTGGCATAGACGGAGAGGAGACAGCGGTGGCGGGAGGCACAGAGACGGACAATTCCAGGCAGTGTCTTAGAGTTGGTGAGAAATACACAGAGCGAGGGATACGGAAACTGCCGGATAAAGAGACTGGGAGAGATCGGCAGAGGACCGGGAGGAAGGGGAGCCCCCAGACTCAGAGTCAGGGCGTGGGCAGGGGCAGGAAAAGAGGCTCAGAGTCGCCGAACCATGGCCGAGACGCAGACCCAAGAGATCCGAGGTCGAGTAAGGCAGAGAAGGTCTAGAAGAGGCAAAGAGAAAGAGATGAGATGGCTGGGTGGTTAGAGACACAGGGAAAACCCGGCAGGAAAGAGATGGAAGGTCAGAAGAGACAGGCGGCTGGAGACTGGCGAGAAGTCAGAGAGACGGCCAGAGACTCGGGGGCTGACAGGCTGGGGAGGCGGGAGCGATCAGAGCCCAGAGTGTGAAATGGTTGAGACCAGGCGGCGACCTGGCCGGGAAAGGCTGGGACCCTACATTGGCAAGAGAGCAGACGGACTGGAGAGACTGGCCCTGGCCGCTGGACGTGGAGCTCGCAAGGCGGCCTCAGAACCCTCTGCTTTGCCCCCTGAGCCCCGCCGACCTGGCCCAGCCCTTTGCCCCGCGTCCGTCTCAGTCTGACCATTTGCATCTGCCTCGCCTGGCCTGGAATGGAGAAAGCCGAGCCCCGGGAACTTGGGAGATGGGGAAGAGGAGGATGCGAGCACTCCCCCGGTGGCTATGCCTTAAGTTCCATGCGCCTCGGGGTAAAAGCTCTGTCCTCCCCGCTCACCCAAGGGTTTGCCCCGACAATAAGGTTTTGGAGTATCGGGACACTGAGCCCTTTTGATAACCCGGTGAAAGCTATGGTTTCTCTCTCCAGAAAAATGCACAAACGTGAATTTTGCCCACAAATTCAGGCAGCACCAGGGCTCAGGATTACACGCTTCCTCCTCAACAAATTGTTTCTGCATCAACCCTGTATAGCCCCCTTCCCCAAGCCCCCTTCCCCAACTCCTTCCGAACAGCCTCCCCCCATCCCCAACCAGGTGCTCCCCTTAAGGACTGGGGTGTGAGATCCCAATAAAGGAGCACCTTGTAGCTCAGATCGGCGACAATAACCCGCTTTGTACGGCGGGAAAACCAGCAAGTCCGGAAGCCGGGGTCTCCTTGGCAAACCCACGCCCCCAGCTTAGTGTTGGGGTCTGTCACCAGGGCGAGTTCTGGACGCCCCCTGCCGCCCCTCTTCCCTCTCCAAACCCTCCCTGACATCATTCCAAATGGGGGGTGTCTGGAGGCGGGCTTGGGGATGGTTTAGGCAACAGTTAAAACGGTCGCCAATTATTTTTTTAAAAACCACTCATTCCATTCTCCCCGTAAGTGAAGGGAAGGGTTGGAAGCGGCGAATTTGGGGCTCCTAAGGGACGGAGATGGGGGACGGCCGCGGCCCCTAGCGAGCGGGCTAGCCAGCGAGGGCCTAGGCCCCCGCGCGGAGCGCGCCGCCTCCGCCCATATGGCGGCCGGGCCGGA